ATCGTGTATATTATAACGTGTAGGCTATAACTCTAAAGCTTTGTTACACACTGTTCTCTTTGTGGTTGCTTTTGAGAAATTCTTTCTATATTGTCATGCTTGTAGTACAAGAGCAAGTTCCTTTGTATACAGAGGCACCCTTAAACTGTGCGGCTTTACTTCTACTTGACAGATTTTTTGCATGTCATAGCTGAAAAGTGTCATTTTACATGTGATGAAAAAGGAACACCCTGCACTACGCTTATGTTCCATATTGACTCATTCAGGGCCAGATCCTTTACCCCAGAAGTCAGTAGATGCTTTGCCATTGACTTCAGAGAGTACAGAAGCATGTGACCTAGTTTGTGCCAATAAAATTTCAAATATTAAGAAGCAATCCTTACCATGTTGGGAAAAGTTATTTGTAAATTAAAAAAAAAAAAGCAAACAAAAAAAGCTAGATCATGCCCTTCCTAGGAAGGGAACATTTCTAGTATCTCCGTAGGGTCATCCACTCAGTGAGGCGGAGATGGTGGCTAGCCATAGGTCCGACATTATGCAAGTAGGCTGGATATCCCCGCCCTCCTCTCCCCCGAACATGCTTGAAGACTTCGTGTGTGACTGGAAAGCTCCACCATTTTTTACACCAGCAGTTCTTATGCTGCTACTGTTTCCCTTGCTATGGGCATGATCCAGAGTGCATTGAAGTGAATGAGAGTCTTTCCATTTACTTCAGTGGGCTTTGGATCAGGCCCCCTGGCTGCATATTCAGACCTTCTCTGCAGGTTGTTAATTCTGGCATGAACCAGCATTTACCTCTGTAAGATTATGTCAGAGTTGAACTCCCTACACCAGAGAATCATGCCATCTAGTGCAGAGGTTCTCAAACTGTGGTCTGTGAGCTCTATTCAGGTGGTCCGCGGATAGTTCCCTCTAAGGTGCATGCCTGGATGGCTGCACACAAGAAAATGAAGGGCCACCCACCTAATTAGAGGAGGCACAGGCATGGCTCCACTAATTAGGTGCCTGGACCCTGGAGAAGATGCACATGTAAGGTGAGGAGGTGGCCTTGGGGGGGGGGGAGAGGGGGTAGGTGGGAGGGGGCAGTGGGGTGAGAAGAGAGGGTGGGGGGAATTTGGGACGTGCAGGGCTGCAGTGGCCAGAGAAAGAGGCGACTTTCCCCAGCTCTAGGGTTGCGGCTGCTGGGGAAAGACTCCCCTCCTTCCCAGCCCCAGCTCTGTGGCTGCTGTGGTGGGGGATAGCCGCCTCCTTCCCAGCCCCAGCTCAGGGGCTGCCACGATGGGGGGAGAGAGGGCACGTCCATTGCATTAGAAAGGTAAGACTACTGATATTAAAATATGAGTTGTGTGCTTTTTATTTATAGAACAAAAAAAGTTAATTATTAAAGGTTTGTTTTTATAGCGCTTTTATCCAAAGCACTTTACAATAGTTAGCTAACGGTACAAACAACCTTTGGAAAGATCCACCGAGACCCTCAGCAATTTTCAAGTGGTCTGTGAAAAAAATAAAAGTTTGAGAACCACTGATCTAGCATGTTCCTTGGATCTACCCGCTTGGCTGCCAACAGACATTCCCTCCTCCCCAAGTTCCATTTCCAGCAGATCTGCCTCAACACATGTTGTTTACAGGAGGGCCTTCCCAACTGGTAGCTCCTTTCTTTTGGTATTTATAGCCCTCATTTAAAAAGTTACTACTTGATGTCAGATTTGATAGGGTTTGAATATAAATCAAACTTATCAATACTCTGCTTTTGATGGAATAATAGTAGAAATAGTAGCACTATTTGTTAAGTGATACCAGATAGTATGACTAATGCAAGTCCTAATATCAATTTTCAACATTTTATGAATCACATTTGTTTATTATGTTACACTTATTAAATGTGCCCTTTCAGATGTCTCAGGACACAGAACGTACACTAGAACATATTTCTGTTGGCCATATAGTAAATACATTATACATAAACATGTAAAATTTCAAGTTAGTAATATTTTAGGGGAGGTTTCATGGTGAAGCAATGTTTACATAGTGGTGTAATATTGGGCCAAGTCTACATGGGAATATTCAAGAAAGTTAAGGCAAGTCAACTAAAGATGCTGTGCACATAAGTTAAAACTTAATTAACATCAATGTGGATGATTGGGTTTTATTTTCTTAAATATGAACACATCACTGTGGTGCTCTACTCTCTCTACTGGCTCCCCATAGAATACAGTGTCCTGTTTAGATCTCTGCCGTAATCTTCAAAGCCCTCCATTGGATTGGCCCTGTCTATCCAAGAGATTGCCTCTCACTCTGCCAACATGACTTCCCAGGGCAGTGATATTCAGTTGGAACAAAGAAACTGCCAGTCAACAGAGGGAGGCTCATGAGAGCAGGAGACAGCTTTCACAGGAGCTGGACCTAGCCTGTGGAACCCTTGCCCTCAAAAGATAAGAGTGACCCCCCCAGATCTCACAGTTAAATGTAAAACTCATTTGTTTTTCTTAGTTTTCTCTCAATCAGTTCTCCTTTCTCATACTCTGTAAACAAAATCCCCCAAAATACAAATTAATCAAGCTATTGCTCCAACGGACTGGGGGAGTTTTGTTCTTATTTCTATTTCTAAATTCTTAGAGGATCACCAGTACTGCAGTGATGGGAGGCCATAGATACATAGAACACACTTGGAAATCTGAATTGAAATTCAACCCCAACTGATTATCCTATTAAAATATTAACAGGAATATTTTGATACTTCCTCCTATTTTGGTGTTAATGAAACTTGTGTTGCACTGATATCATCCTTACAATATTGAATTTTGCTCCTTAAATTTTCTTTTGACTTTTTTGTTTATACATGGTACATAGTTAAAAAAAATTAATAAGCAGTGTTTTTGATTGTTGGCATATAATTAGTAAGGCTATTGACATAGCTATAAAATAACCCCCACCACACACAATCTCTTATTAATTTGAGTAAGGAATCAATCCGATCTCATCTTTCATGCCAAACTTGTCATTCCTTCAGTGCCCTAAAAGGACTATTGCTGAAAATCTGACAATTAGGGCTGTCGATTAATCACAGCTAATTCACACAGTTAACTCAAAAAAATTAATTGCAATTAATCTGTTTTAATTGTACTGTTAAACAATAGAATACCAATTGAAATTTATTAAATTTTTTGGATATTTTTCTACGTTTTCATATATATTCTGTGTTGAATTGATTTCAAAGTATATATTTTTGATTATAAATATTTGCACTGGTAAAATGATAAAGAAATAGTATTTTTCAATTCACCTCATACAAGAATTGTAGTGCAATCTCTTTGTCGTGAAAGTGCAATTTACAAATGTAGATTTTTTTAACATAACTGCACTCAAAACCAAAACAATGTAAAATTTCAGAGCCCACAAGTCCACTCAGTCCTACTTCTTGTTCAGTCAATTGCTAAGACAAACAAGTTTGTTTACATTTACAGGAGATAATGCCCTCTTCTTATTTACAATGTCACCAGCAAGTGAGAACAGGTATTTGCATTTTGTAGCTGGCATTGCAAGGTATTTATGTGCCAGTTATGCTAAACATTCGTATGGCCCTTCATGCTTCGGCCACCATTCCAGAGGACATACTTCCATGCTGATGACACTTGTTAAAAAAATGTGTTAATTAAATTTGTGACTGAACTCCTGGGGGGAGAATTGTCTGTTCACTGTTCTGTTTTACCTGCATTCTGCCATATATTTCATGTTATAGCAGTCTTGGATGATGACCCAGCACATGCTGTTCATTTTAAGAACACTTTGACTGCAGACAAAATGCAAAGAAGGTACCAATGTAAGATTTCTAAAGATAGCTACAGCACTCAACCCAAGGTTTAAGAATCTGAAATGCTTTCCAAAATCTGAGAGGGATAAGGTGTGGGGCATACTTTCAGAAGTCTTAAAAGAGCAGTACTCTGAGGCAGAAACTACAGAACCCAAACCACCAAAAAAGAAAATCAACCTTCTGCTGCTGGCATCTGACTCACATAATGAAAATGAACATGGGTCGGTCCTCACTGCTTTGGATTGTTATTGAGCAGAACCCATCATCAGCATGGATGCAAGTCCCCTGGAATGGTTGTTGAAGAATGAAGGGACATATGAATCTTTAGTGCATCTGGCACATAATTATCTTGCGACGCCAGCTACAACAATGCCTTGAGAATGCCTGTTCTCACTTTCAGGTGACATTGTAAACAAGAAGTGGGCAGCATTATCTCCTGCATATGTAAAGAGACTTGTTTGTCTGAGCGATTGGCTGAACAAGAAATAGGACTGAGTGGACTTGTAGGCTCTGAAGTTTTACATTGTTTTATTTTTGATTGCAGCTTTTTTTGTACATAATTCTACATTTCTAAGTTCAACTGTCATGCTAAAGAGATTGCACTACAGTACTTGTATTAGATTAATTGAAAAATATTATTTTGTTTGTTTTTTACAGTGCAAATATTGGTAAGAAATATAAAGTGAACACTGTACACTTTGTATTCTGTGTTGCAATTGAAATCAATGTATTTGAAAATATAGAAAACATCCAAAAATATTTAAATAAATCATATTCTATTATTGTTTAACAGTGCGATTAATCACAATAAATTTTTTTAATCGCTTGACAGACCTACTGACAATATGTTATTAAGAAAGATATCTAAGACAAGGAAAGATTTATTTTATTTATTTATTTATTTATTGGGCTAGAAATAAGGTATGCATATTTTTAACAGTGAGAGTAATTAACCATTAGAATAAGTTATCGAGGGTGGAGTTCTCCCTCACCTGAAGTCTTTAAACCAGAAGTTATGATGAGCTTGATGCTGGAGCCACTTGGTGAAATTCTGTGACTTGTATTATGTAAGAGGTCAGATTAGATGAACATAGTGCCCATTTCTGGCATTAAAATCTGTGAAATCTTGTCTGAGCTAACTTATGCAAATGTTTGTATAAATGCTCCTCTCTTTTCTTCACTTGGCCAGATCAGATCATGTTATGGATCCAACCAAATCAAAAGGATGCGTGAGCCGGTGAGAAAGAACATGGACTTCTGAGAACACTAACTTCCTAGATGCTTAAAATAGAAGAGCCTGGGATTATGGTGATCAGTTACCAATGGCTACAAAGATGGAAAAGCAATGGACCCCTCTACCTGTACCTGTATAAATAAAGTTTTAGAAGGCAGAGAGAACTTAAATTGAACCAAATAATTATTTCAGCCATGGGAGAAAATGAAAGTTTTTGGGAGAGCTTGATATATGCACATCCTACCTGTGTAGCCTGGAAGCAAGAGCCAGAAGGATCTATCTACCATCTAGCTAGTATTCTATTCGTTGTTGGCTTCATGGGAGGAAGTGGATTCTTTGGGCTAATGTACGTCTTCAGTTTGCTTGGACTGGGCTTTCTCTGCTCTTCTGTATGGGCTTGGCTGGATATATGTGCTGCTGATATATTCTCCTGGAATTTTGTCCTCTTTGTGATATGCTTCATACAATTTATTTATGTTACTTACCAAGTTCGGAGTGTTTCCTTTGAAAAAGAATTCCAGGAACTCTACAGTTCTCTTTTTCAGCCTCTGGGAATCTCTTTGACTGTTTTTAGGAAGATTGTCTTGTGTTGTGATGCAGAAGTGGTTACTTTGGAGAAGGAGCATTGTTATGCTATGCAAGGCAAAACACCTATTGATAAACTCTCTATGCTTGTGTCTGGAAGGTTTGTATCAGTTTGTTCGTATCTATTTACAGGGTGGGTTTTTTCATCCTTCCAAATATAAAAGTAAACAGTAATTCCTTATTTGTATATTGTTTGCTCACATTTAATTCAAGTACCAGAGATTAAATAGGCCGACAGTTTAAAAACTGTAAACATGTCCAAGAAGTCTCCAGCATAAGAACACTTTGAGCACAAAAGCCATAACAGCTTAAAGAACAAGGAGACTAATTTTTTTTTTCAGACCATTGTATTATACCACTTCAATTTTTCCTTAAGAAATTCAAATAAAGGGAGCATGAGTGCATTCATCAACGTGTACACTGTATTTGTTACCCATCTATTGTTTTAATAACATAAGAATATTTTAGAAGTGTTCTCTATTAGTATAACCTGACTAGTATGGGAAACAAAATTGTGCTACACCATATAGCAGTGAATGCTATGTTTGTTTTTAATAGCGAATCACTACATTATATCCTAGATTGTACCTACCTGCTTCATGGGTGTCCAAGGAGTGGAAAAGGCATAAGAAACAAACAGCCTCCCTCCACAACAGCTGGGCACAACCACAGTCCCTGCTAGTGTCTGCATGAGTGCTAGCTATGATGCAGGAGTAGTGTCCATCCCTCCACATTGGCCAAACATGCAGGGAAATGCATGCTACACTCCTTCCTGGGGTGAGACAAAAGACTTGCACGCCCCTGCACGTGGGAGATGAGAGCATTAAGCCCCATCCTGAGTAGCCCTCAGAGTGGCATACAAGGTGCAGTTGAGTCCTAGATAATTTTTTAACTCATGAAAATCTTTGGCCTGTGGAGGGCTAGGCCATTTATACAGAGACCCAGTGTCTCTATGCTATTCCTCTGGCCTCACAGCTCCTGAAACAGCATTACCTTGCATGGGAAAACCATATATGTTACATGAGGGATGTCTCCCCAGCTACCATGCCTCCCTCTCACCTTAGCCCTCTAAAATTGCAGAGCCACAAAATAACAAAGGGGGTTCTATTGGTCTTAGAAGAAGGTGAATCATGCTTTTTCACCATCTCTATGTATATCCGCCATATCAGGCCACTGTATGCCTAACGTTCAGCCCTTCCACATGCTAGTCACCTATAGAATGATCTTGCCTTGAGTAAGGACTATAAGATTTGAACCTTAGTTGCTTGCTTGCTGTTTTGTATGTGCTTGTTCCAACTGCATATAAAAACTTAAAGAAAACTGTATGAACAAATAAGCATAGACCTCACTGTCCTCAACACCCTGTACTGAGTATTAAAGTACCTCACATCCGGCTGCTGTTTAAATTTAGAAGTAACTTACTATTCTGTCTACTTTTATGAGTGCAATATTGACATATCCACTGTATTTTGATAGGATCAGCGTGACCGTTGATGGAGAGTTTCTGCATTATATTTTCCCCCTTCAATTTCTGGATTCTCCTGAATGGGATTCCCTAAGACCCACAGAAGAGGGTATTTTCCAGGTAAAACATGAAGGGTTTTTGTGTACTTCTTTAAACTGTTGCATAGTTAAACACTTTAGAAATTAATGTACTGTATTATTTTTGTTATTGAAAATGCCAGACTTGGGCATATAGGGGAGGGAGGTCTGGTTACCCAATTGATTGGTTATGTCTGTATTCTGTTGGTATTTATTTAGTTTTATATTGTTGCTGCAAAATATGATTGCTTAGAAAAAATGACCCTATTTGGTATTTCAGAATTAGACTGCCTTTGTATTATGTAATGGTCTTTTTACATTTAGTCTGGGCTTACACCTAGAGAACTTCTGGATCCAAGAAAACTAGAAATCCTTGGTCTTCTTCCCCACCTGTCTTCTATCTGCAATGAGTCTTGGGTCATATTCTCACCTGGCTTAAATTGACTTAGCTCAGTTAACTTTAACTATTGTATATACAGAGCAGAAAGAATAAGGCACATGCACAGGCAGCAATCCAAGAAGCACTAGTGGCACTTTCAAAGGACTATTTGTAGGATTTCTGTGGCCAATTGTCATAAAAGCCTGATTCTGCAGTTTTTTTTACTTGTGCAGCTTTCCTATTGAAGCCCATGGGAGTTTCTTCTGAGTAAGAAGAATAGGCCTGAGCCCTTCATACAATTGTATAGTCAACATCAGCACACTGGAATTTAGCTATTTTTAATCTCATTTTCAGGTAACTCTTACAGCAGAGACGGACTGTCGATATGTGGCTTGGAGGAGAAAGAAACTGTATTTGCTGTTTGCTAAACACCGTTTCATTTCACGTCTGTTTTCAATTTTAATTGGGAGTGACATTGCTGATAAACTATATGCCTTGAATGACAGAGTGCACGTAGGAAAAGGACTTCGATACGACATCCGGTTACCAAACTTCTACCAAGTGGCAGTACCAGGGACACCCAAAGTGCAACCTGCAGAACAACTTGTGAGCAATTCAAGACAAAAGTTCACTAACATTGCAAACTGTGACTCTTCTAAAAAATAACAAACGAAAAGATATATGCTAAATTAAATAGGGAAATACAAGTTAATAACAGGAAAATCAAGCTGAACAAAACCTAGTAAAGCCAAACTTGATTGAAAGTGCCATTTACTTTAGCTAAAATAGCTTGCATCCCTTTTCTCCCTGCAGAGCCAGCTGGTTGGCTTGTACATCTTGACTAATTATGCATTATGATTAATTTCTTTTGTTGGTCTTATTACTTTTGGGGGGGGGAAATGAATCATGATGGGATGAAGCTTTATTGTAATTGTGGTGCCTTCTGTGTGTGTGTGTGTTTTTTTAAATGATATTTGCATAGCGCTCTTGATCATATGTATTCCAACTTGCTTGTCATAATGAATTATGAATCTATTTCATCATAGTGAAAAGCAAGTTATCTTATCTTATTTTGAGTTGCTTGTTACATTCATAATTACAATATGTGAACCTGATCTTTTTTTAACCATCAGAATCTTAGAGAAGATTACTTTAAAAAAAAATTTAAACTCAGATTGTCGTTTTCTTTTTTAAAAAGGGGAAATGACAGAATGTGAAATGCACAGTAAGACAACGTTTTTTTTTTTTTTCTTTCATTCAGTCCATGAACAGTTGATTTCTCTCAGGCTATAGGAAAGAGGCATTACATGGAAACAAAAAACACTAGTGTAATTGCCAACGTGAAAAAAAGTAAAGCAATCAATATAATTGCTGCAAAGTATATAATAGGAAAAAGTTTGTGTAGTGCTTTGAAGTAGCTAGACTTCAAAGGTGTAAATGCCAATCATAATGTACAATAAATACTGTACATCAATCAATCACTAACATATTTAAGTCTATATTTTACAGAAACCCTTTGTCAGGTTTGTCATAAAGCAACACAAATCAGTAAATACGTGGGGCTACCAACATAAAACAGCAAACTATTCTTCTTAGTAGTGAAGTACTCCTATTTAGCTTGCAAAGTCACTTTTCTGTGCCTATAAACGTTTTAATTTAAAATACATTTTCTCCCTAGTGTGGGTGTCTTTAATAGTTTATGGGGATTGAAGATCAACATTTGGTTGGAGAAACCTAGTTTTATACCTTTTCCAATTGATTTTGAGGTCATTGTGCCTTTGGGGAAGAGGTGTTTGAATGTCTTTCCTAACTTACTATCTTGCTCTATGCTTGATGCATGCCTATAATCAAAAAGGGAGAACCATTACTATTTTATGAGACAATATTAATGCTTGATACATATCAAGGTAGATTGCCTTTTTAATATTTAAAACTTAAAAATTGCTCTAGGGTTTGGGAGGAAAAGTTAGTGCCTGCCTTTTTTTACTAGATCTTATGAGTCATTGGTAGAGGTTTAAAGCAGTTGCCACAGTCTCTACCTTGAAGGTAATCTTACTGTGTAAGAGGAAAAACTCTTTCAAAAACACATTCATCCTGGAGCCTGAGTGAAGTGGTTTTCAGTAAGAGTGGCTTTACAGAAGAAACCAAAAAAATCCATGTATTTTAACAAAGTTATTACAAGTGATGAAAAAGTATATATTGTACATCACTCAATACAAATAAAAGTAGTATTTACAATGCAAGAACAATTTTGCTTTTAGCTTTCTCCATTTTCTAGAGAGATAGATATGTAGTGGTGCCATGTGATATTGCAGAGCTACTTGTGTATAATGGGGTAATCCCAAATTCATTCTAATAAAAACCTCTTTATTATGTACTCCCTATGTTATGCCACATGATGTCACGATGTCCATAAAATGACTTTGTTTCTGTAACCCTGTGGCAATACCTGCAGCCATTTAATTAACTGAAAGATGCTGAGTCCCTAAATTAATTTTGGAGCTGAGGCTGTACACCATTTTGCGGGAGGTGGCTTGCACCTCATCTAATTGGGTTCTCTTATTGCTTTGTTGACTTCTCATTTGTGTTCTGCCAACTCATCCATCTCAGCCACAATTATGAAATATCTCACTCTTCAGATAAACTTTCAGCATTTTTTTTAAAGGTACCCCAAAATTATTTTTTTCCTCACCAAATCTGACGTAGATAAAAACCCAGGATTGAACATGTTCTTTGCTATATAATTTGTTTTGGACCAATAAGAGGTTTTACAATATTTTATGAACCCCTAGGACTAGAAATGCCATTAGAAAGGTAGTATTCTAATTTTGACAGACATTGACAAAGCATTGATTTATTGCTCTGATAGACATTCAAATCAAGACATCCTGCCTTTTTTTATTTATTTTTTTAAAGCTAATTTTAAATAATAGAAGTTTTACAAAACTTACTAGTATTATTTTCTCTTGCTTGTACTATCAGATATATGGCATAATATTCTGGTCCCCTTTGAAGTCAATGACAAAACTCCCATTTAAAATTCTGTCAAGTATCAGAGGGGTAGCAGTGTTAGTCTGAATCTGTAAAAAGCAACAGAGGGTCCTGTGGCACCTTTAAGACTAACAGAAGTATTGGGAGCATAAGCTTTCGTGGGTAAGAACCTCACTTCTTCAGATGCAAGTCTTGCATCTGAAGAAGTGAG